AAAGTTGTGACTGTTCAGTTTTAGTAGCCGCCCTACTAAGGGCATCCTTGTAATATCTCATCTTTAAGTTAATTATAAATATAATGAGAGGTAGGCGGCTAGGGTTAACTTTCTCATAATTCTAGTTGACTTCCTACTCTTTTCTTCTTCTCCTTCCTTCTCTACTGCTGAAACCTTCACCTTCCCCCTCTTTCTCTCACAAGAAGCTTGATTGAATCAGCAAATAGTGATTTCTACTGTATATTTTATTAGGTTATAATGCTCCAATAAGTAACACAGCATAAAGAAAATTCCTTAAGAAGAAAACCCTGTTGATATTATCTTAATACTAAAAGACCATAACATTTAATCACTCGAAATTACAAAAGAATATAAAATAAAACGGTGAAAAATAAGTGGAAGAGACTAAGCCTATCTGTTCCATATGCTTCAGCTTTCCATTCAAAAGAATCAAAAAGAGAGATTTTTTTCCTTTTCACAAAAATTTATCTTGACTGGGCTTTTTGGATAAAGGCATTGAAGTTGTCTGCCAACTTTAAGGTGGAAGATTTCTTCAGTAGTTGGGGGGCATCCTCTGGATCCTCCTCTAGGAAACAAAAACCCCTTGAGGTGTGGTCTCCCCCAATGAGCGGGTGGTTAAAATTGAACTTTGATGGGAGTAGTCTGGGCAATCCAGACCCACAGGAACTGGAGGGGTGATAAGAGATGAGGGTGGCATTATAGTGCCTTGTTTTCAGGCCCAATTGAGCAAGGTGATTCTGTAAGTGCAGAAATCTTTGCTGCAGTGTTTTGGGTTAAGATGGCTAGAGATATGAGAATTGCAAGCTTGATTCTTGAAGGTGATTCTAAGCTGCTAGCGGGGTGGCTAAAGGAAGGTGAAGGGTGATCTGGAAGCTTAGGAATGAATTCAGGCGCTTCAAATGACTTTCAAGAGATATCACAATTCAAATCAAGTGGATTTGGAGATCTGCTAATAGTTTAGAAGATGGATTAGCAAAACAAGGAGTTCAAAGACAGCATATATATTGGGATCAATTGTAATATAGGCTGTAATTCAGCCGGGTGGGTGTGTTTTGTTTTGGGTTGGACAGTGTTTTCACAACTTTTGGTTGTAATCTTTCTTTTCTATTAATGAATGAATGAAGTTCTGTTTTCTGATAAAAAAACTTATCATGACCGTAATTATTAATTATGAAATTGTCTACCTACAAAGAAGTTTTCAGTGATAAAAAAGAATTTTGAATCTAGCTAAATCATTGATAAGAGGGATAAGTTATAAATATATGTATAAATTAGTATTACAAAGGAAATTGCAAAAAAAAGTGGAAGAAGTTTGTTGAGAGCTCTATACAACCGAAGGTTGTTAGTCAAGTATATACAAAGAGGCCATGTCAGCATAACCGAAATGCAAGTTGAACAATTTGTTGTAACAGAACAAAAGTAAGTATTGTAATCAGTTGTAACCATCAGAATGAAAACAGAATAAATACAATCAAGAAGAGATGGGGATGCATCAAAGAATTTCAAATCAATTATCTCTCCTTTCTATCTCTCTCTTATCAATTGGAGGTTGGCTCCCTCGAAGAAGCCCTTAGTTAGGCACGTTCCTAACAAAGTTAGAATAAAATAAGGATCTAAATGATCTAAGAATCAACCAATAAAATAATCATGAAGCATAAATTACTTCCCTTAAAGTTCTCCACTCTAATAGTTCAAATTTGAACATTGTTACATATAGAGCTTAAGGAATGATGGTTGCTAAAATCCAACTCAAATAACATTCATGTAAGACTTGGCTTAACCTACAAACATTTACCTTTCATTTTCAGGCACTCAACAGATCGTGAAGTTGCTATCATGATGCTTATGGCTTATTTGTCATACATGTTGGCTGAGGTATTGAAACTTTTGGATTTGAACAATTTCTTTGTAGACTCAAGACTAGACATGAAAATTTTGGACTTTTTTGAGAACAGATATACTATGATATAGCTTCTTTAAGTTGGTTATGAATACTTCCCATATATGACTGTCTAAGATGTTTCCCCTTTATCTAGAGAGTGTCATGAATTTTTGAAATGGATTTTCTACAGATTACACTCTCTGAAACCATGATGACAATTGTGAGGGGTTCTTATGAGAATCTTAATTTCCCTAATCAGTTTAGATGTCTGGATCCTACTAAACATTTTTTTTTGGAGTGGTCATGACATTGCATCTCCACTTAAATAGTATTATCCATTTGTTAGTTCTTTTAACCACGGTGTTCTTTTTCCTGCAGCTTGCATCTCTTAGTGGGATTTTGACAGTTTTCTTCTGTGGCATTGTCATGTCACACTATACATGGCATAACGTAACTGAAAGCTCAAGGGTAACCACCAAGTAAGAGTGTGTTTCTTGAAGATTTATGTCTTACTTGTTCTTCTAGAAGTATACATACATACATACATACATATATATATATATATATATAGTGTGGCATGATTCTTGCTATACTCTAACTTGGTTATTTTCTATCAATGTAAATAAGAGATTATGGTTGAGATATGTTTGTGTCCATGATTCTATACCCCTAGAACATTGTTCAAGTTTCTTTGGTCACTTGCCACTTGAAAATGAGTTTAAAATGATCTATTGATCATCAGAAAACAGGTCTAAGGAAACCTATTTCACTCATCCTCTTCACCTAGCTGGAAAAATTGTTGCATCGATGTCTTTTACCTCTTTTCTTATCAGAACAAATATTTTTTATTCAAGAATCTTATAATTTGGAAAATACAGTGAGGTTTAATGATTTGATGATTTCAGGCATGCATTTGCAACAATTTCCTTCATAGCAGAAACTTTTATATTCCTATATGTTGGTATGGATGCCCTGGACATTGACAAATGGAAAGCAAGCAAATCAAGGTAAGATAGAACTAAGTCTTCTGTTTACATTTTAAGGCAAATAAATTGGTTCCAAGCCAGGTAGAAAATACATGTACATATGTATATTAGATATGAAAAAATGAACTTTTTACATCTTTCATGAATGAATTGAAATAAATGTTAAATATTCTATAGTTTAAACCTTAAACCGTAGTTAATTTTTCTGACTTTGTACCTGTAGGCTATATTTGGTTTGATAGAAAATAAGAGAGAAACAGAAGGTTGAGGGAAAGTTCTTAATGAATTTCACAAAAGTACTTATCTTTCCTTGAACTTTCCTCTTTATCTCTTATTTTTTACCAAAATGAACACAGCAATAGTGGTCTTGTTACTCAGTGCTTAGCTTGCATTGTCACATGAAGGGGTCCAAAATCACATCCTATTCCTAGTGGTTGATAATAAACAATGGTTGTAATTTGATATTGTGTTTAATTCAGTGCAGCAAGATCAATTGGCATTAGTTCAACACTACTTGCTTTGGTGTTGGTTGGAAGAGCTGCCTTTGTGTTCCCTCTTGCAAATATTGCAAATTTGTTTAGAAGCAGAAGTGTTACTAAGATTGAGCTTCGCCAACAGGTATTGGTTATCAATGTGCTACCATATAACTATTTTCAAATATTTCCCACTTGTATCTTTCTCTAATCATTTCAAAATTCAGTTTATAATTTGGTGGGCAGGCCTAATGAGAGGCGCAGTTACTATAGCTTTATCTTATAATGAGGTAAACTTTAAGCTATATCCATATCTCTTAGGTGTCTAAGATAATTGGCTTCTGATGAATCCTGAAAAGAGCATATAATTGCAGTTTGCAGGTTCTAGCTCAACAGCAACAGCAGATTATGCACTTATGATCACCTCTACCATAATTGTTGTCCTCTTTAGTACATTGGTATGTTGACTGGTACTTTGATAGCTTTCATTTACTCTGATATTTTTCTTTCATAAACTAGGATGTGGAATCTGTTTTAATTATGTTGAACTTATCAAGTAGATGGTTCCATGCATTAACTCTATGCAAACTTCTACCTAAAGTATCTATATAAAACAGTGACCCAACCTCCTATACTAGCACATTGAAAGAATGCCTAAGAGACCGTTTAATAATTGCTGAGGTGGTTGAACTGAATGCCTTATTCTTTTGTCTTTTAGTGATACATAAAACAATCGTATAGAATCCGAAAACCTACTTAATGGCTTATTTACTAAAAGAAAAGGCATAAGTTATTCAGTTCAGCCACTTCAGTTGTTATCAAATGGGTCCTAAAACATCAATAGGACAAGTGCATAGTCTTTAATAGTTCCCTTGTTTTTAATATTTTCTCATAAGATTTCATCTTTCTGCCATTTCTCCTTTGAAATTTTAATCCGTCAACAAAATTGTTTTGCTTTAAACAGGTGTTTGGCTCGGTAACAAAGCCTCTAATTGAAGCCCTGCTGTTTCGACACTCACATCCTGTAAATACAGATGCATCTGAAATCCACAGCTTAGAAGATTTACGATTCCTATTTCTTGAAAACGGAGAACCAAATGATGAGAGCAACCTTCCTCCACCCCCAAAGAGAAGTAATCTAAGCTTGTTAATAAGATACCCCACATCAACAGTTCACTACTTTTGGAGGAAGTTTGATGACAGATACATGAGACCAGTATTTGGAGGACGAGGTTTTATGCCATATGTTCCTAGCTCACCCACTGGTGCAGAAGCTGGGACTTCTTCAAATTGAGTAGTTATTTTTTATTATAGTTTTGTAATATAGAGGAAGTCATTGTTTTAATTATGTTTACCTCGGGAGTGATTTCTAAGTAAGTTTCTTTTGGATCACTTAGGAGTATAATTTGTATTGTTACTTCATTGTATCATGTCAAATAAATTATCTGAGTTAATGAATAATACTGTCTTAGTTCAAAAGGAAAATGAATAAGTTTACCATGTTTTGTATAATAATAATAATAAATCTCAGGCTGACAAACATGAAAATGTAGGTCTGAGCCTCTGAGTGGACGCTTTGTGCAAACGTTTACCATATATACCTAGCTTTTTGAAGCAGTAAATATGGTGCCACTGGTCCTATTCTGAAGAAAACTATTCTTCTTGAGGGTAATGCATACTGTTTAATAGGGCACCCTCTAAATTTATTACTACTCAATTCCCAGTTTGCAAAAACTTGATTATCAAAATGTAACACAACCCATTAGAGTTGTGCATTGCTGCATTCTTTTATTAAAATGGAATTTCTTTGCCAAAATGGCATGTGTTTATAGTTTGAAGATTACCTAAACAACCAGAAGGAAGTATAGCCTTTCCTGTGCTGCTAAAAAAGGCTTTATAGAGTTACAGCACCTCTCTTCATCCAGAACCAGAACTCTTAAGGCACCTAACCACTGTACTACATATTACTGGATGTTTGAAACAAATACTTTTAACTGTTTATTTCTTGCCTAAAAGAAAAGCTCATTTTCTATGGGAAATTATTTGTGTTATCACATTTTGCTTCCATATGTTTACCCTGGCCACCCCCATAACATATTAGGCTATGTTTGGCTTGATGGAAAATAGGAGAGAAATAGAAAGTTGAGGGAATCATATTTGTTATCAAACCAATAAACCAAAACACATCCTTAGGGTGGTAAAAGGTTTCATAATCAGGTCAAGTATATGAAGTTTCTCCTCCTGTTGGTGCTTGAAGAGGACCATAAAAGTTTTATTAAATTTTTTATTTTTTAAATATAAAATCTACAACACATGTGACATGTCTAAAGATTACAGCTGGAGGTACAGATAAAAGGATGCTATTTGACAGTCATTTGATGAGATCTTTTTTTTTTCTTTTTAAATTAGTAGGAAGCCATTTGATGAGATTGAGATTGAGATTTACTCTTTGCAACAACAAAACAAATACATCATGATTGGAGAAGGCAAACCTTAGATCCACCAGAAAAATCTATAATAGTCAAAAATCATGGTTGGGACACTTTTTTTTACTTGATCAGAAGAAAGCAGTCACTTGGGTGAAGTGGACATATTTGGTAAGACCTTGTTCCAAAAGGTAAATCATGGTGGGTATTTTGGTATTATTTAATTTGAGGTTAAGTAAAATTGGAGCAACAATGAAGTTTTAACATAAATTCAATGACACATATGCCCATAGCAATTAAGAGCAGACTGAGTGACTGACCAAGCTGTATTTTTTGTCTTTCAGAGTCTGCCAAACAGTTATTTAAAACAGGTGAGGGGAGGTATGCTTAAAAGCTGGCAAGAACATTGAATCAATCCAAGTAGTTGTTTAAAATAGTCCCAAATGGTAGATCGGTCCCTCAATTAGATTGAAGCAATCCAAACAGTTAATTAAAATAGGCCCAAAATGGTAGATCGGTCCCCCCCAATCAGATTAGATGGCCCAATTGTCACAAATAGGATTTCTTTATTTTTTTGACCAAAAAACAAAAGGTTTTCTTTATTGGGAAGCAATACTGTTTTGGGTCCCAATATGTTGAACCATTAATTTACATCCAGCCATTAGCACCTTCTCATTGTGAGAACCTTTGTATCAAAAGGTATTTTTCACAAGTCAGAAGTATGAAAACTGAAAACGCATTTGATAAACCTTTTTTTCTCAAGAAAAGGGTTACATAAATTCAAATCTCCTACCCAATCTCCCCATGAATGATAACATGCAAATACCAAAGATGTTCTCAATGTACAGCTGTAGTGAGGCGTGGATAAGGTTCTTGTGGGCAGGAGATCTCAACTCAAATTATATATTACCACCCTATACTTTAGTGAAGTGAGAACAGAGTGGGAAGGGCAGTGACACTAGTCACCCTCCGCAAACTTTCATTTGAGATAAAGACCCCTGAACTTTTAGGTTCCAACACTTCATCCCTTTCATTAGCATTCTATCCATTAATTTTAATATGTAACTGTAATGTGATTGTTAAATATTTTTACATCTCCAAATTACTCTTTCCTTGATCTGTGGGTCATTTTTCCCTTTCTCTTACATATTTGTATAAATCCTTTATTTATGTTTCTTTCTTCTTTCTCATTCAAAATGGGCAAGAAAGAGAAATTGCATTTTACCTTAACCCATTTCTGTCAATTCAGTTAACAGGAAGATGGCAAAGTGTTGAAATCTGAAAGTTCAAGGAAGTTTGGTGGCTAAGTGTCACTGTCCCAGAGTACAGGATAGTAATCTACAATTCATTCAAGAAAATTAAAAAAAAAAAAACACTAAAACCAAACAAAACTATATCATTCTCCATTTTTGGCCCATGATGATGATATAGCTTCCAGTACTCCTGCCATTTCCCCTTACCAAATACCTTATGGTATATCCTGCTAAAGCTTCAGTAGCAAAGCAAAACATGCTGCTATATTGACATTTGGGTCAATATGTGGGAAACTTAAATCTTCCAGCCAGTGTTTGGAACCAATGCCATTTCGGTAGCGTGAGCTTATCACCCAAGTGGGGGCATCAAGATGGCCGAATGTGGGCTCAGCTCTGATGGGTAAGTTCTGGTGGTGGCTTCTTGCTAGCCTGCCCATTCCAAGTGGGGAGTTGAGTCAAGGGGTTGAGAGAAGGCTTGGGCCTCGTGATTCTTAGAGTGGAGGGCAATGCGTAAGGCTGGTTTTACAGAGCCCAGCATCGACTGGCATATTATTTTCCCTGAAGACATGCAACACTGAATCGGACCTCATCATTTAAGCTTCATAGAGGGTGAGGAGAAAGAATTTTTTGTTCGAAGGTTTCGTCTGGTCTCCATCGAAACTCTGTTCGACAGCCTCTCCCATCTGTAGATATCAGTTCTTCTTCTTCATCGACTTGAGCGAGGAGACTCCTTCAAAAGAACATGCTCGGGGGTTTCCTCTCGTCTCTCCCATCTCCGAGCGGACGTGACCCAGTTCGAAAGCTTCCATACTTCTCCATTGAGATCATGTCTCAACATCAAATCGCCTCCATCGTTCAAGTTTAAGGTGTGCTTCTCCTGTCTTCACTAAAGCACCTGTTCGAGTTTTTCTTTCTTCTTGATGAAGGGTGATTTGGCCCGACCTAGCGAGAAGGGGACACGTGGACGCGACCTAATTAAGGGATGACAGCTCAGCCTGGCAAACCTAGTTCACAACATTTGAGGTCGAGTATTCAGCCACCTCGGCCCAAAACTCACCTCGGCATCGAGGCACCTCGGTATCCAATCCAGTTCGAAACTAAAGAATCGAAGTATCAGCTCGGGGCTAACAACTCGAGTCGCCACGTAACCGACTTCAGATGTCTCTCCAATGGATCCCAAGTTACTCGAGATCACGATGAGCTAACAAATCCCGACTTTTTCGAGATCACAATGAGCTAACAGATCCTGACCTTTCTGAGATCACGATGAGGACTCATCCCGGCCCCGCCAGAGTCGGAAGTGAAACAATAAGCCTTATCTATGTACTGCTCCTTCGAAAGTGGAATGAACCCTATCTCCACACCCCAGAGATCCCGGAGCTCTTTCGTGATACCCACGACTACTCCAGTATATAAAGACGGGAACCTCAAGGCAAAGGTATGTGTGATTACTCTACTCTCTAGCACTCAACTCACATTTACAGCATACTAACTTAAGCATCGGAGCGACCTCGCCGGGTTAGCCACCCCGGGTTCTTTGATAGATTGTTTTGTAGACCAATCCAGCTCGCCGTCCACCTGGAGTCCAGATCGTCCTCCAACTAGGAGTAGTCAAATCGCGCACCATCAATTGGCGCCGTCTGTGGGAATTCGACCGAAAGGTAATTCCTACCACTTTGCAACTTCAAATTCAATGGCATCCTCTAGCCACACCGGGAAAAGCGTCGAGATGAACACCACCGGGGGGCAAGCCCAGCAGCCAACCTTTCCCCAAGCTCCTACGGTGTGCATCGGACAGTTCACCATTCTGCTCACAACATCTGGAGTCCCATCATTAACTGCACTACCGAGCACCGCACAGGTGAGCACCCCACTTCCCCCGATGGTAGGCGCAACTTTCTCTGAGCCCTCCGTGGTTCCTCCCGGAGTGGGGGGTTCCCAGTTCCATGACCTCGTTCAGTGCGTCCGGGCCATTCAGATCCAAATGCAACAGTTTCAGTAGTACCAACATTATTACCTCTACTAGCAATATCAACACCAGGTCTCTCCACTGCAGCCAAACCAACAGCCAGTTCCGCCTCGGCACCCAGGGCCCCATCATGGTCAAAACCCAAATCGTCTCGGAGTTAACCAGAACATTAACCGATCCCCCCATCGAGGCGAAGAGACCTCACAAGCACTGATTCCTCTCAGGAGTCAAGTCTCACCCCGAGGGAGGAGAGACAATCAACACACTCCACTGGCCTCGCAAGGAAATCTCAAGAATAGGTCTGGGGATAGTCAACTGAATCCACCTCAGCACTTACAGCAAGAGAACAATGGTTCGCGAGCAGATAACCAGTTTGGGGTTCAAGGTGCGAACTCAAGACAGGACCTCTCCGTCCCCCATGATAGTCAGCCCCAGAATCCCTTGAGAAACCAGGATCTGCCTCGCGACAGGGCCGTAGTACTAGATCGAACTGAAGTCGGACGCACGAACGCCGAGCTAGTGAAGAAACAACAGCGGAGATGTTGCAAGACACACCATACCTCGGCTCAGAACAACCTGCTAGCAAAGCCAAGCCAACGAGAAGGGCAAACCAAAGGGAAGGAAGAAGTGAGCTCGGTGGCTACAAAGGCTGCTCCTCCACTACTTTGCAGGTCGTCTCCCCTATCTCCCAAGCTCTTGGCGGCCCCGATGCCAAAAGACTTCAGGATGCCCCCGTTAGACAAGTACGACAAGTCCTTCGATCCTAACGACCATGTGGACTCTTTCCAGTCCCAGATGCACCTAGCTGGGGCTGATGAGTCTTGCATGTGT